ATATACCTACCTAGTGTTTGCTAACTAGACTTTATTTTTATAATGTTACCCATCTTATATTGAATAAAACTGATAATTTCACTTGTTTCCTATATCGCAAAAATATATTACCAGCTGGTGGTCTATGATTTCCAGTTGATTTATTTGTTATGGTGTGTTGTATTCGAAAACTAAACAATAATATTATGCTTTTAGTGAATTTGTCATATTTGTTCGGTTCAATAAGACCCCCAGTAGGGCCGGCGTGAATGAATAAYAAGGGGAGGGGGTGTTATGTAAAATTGCCRACTTAAAAAAAAAAATTAAAACTTGTTAAAATTGTAATGTACCTACTCATGTATTTATGAATTCAAAATATAAAATATGTTAGGTTACAATAAATAGATTAAAATACTTCTATTAGGTATTAATTTTTACATAATAATTATTCTTCTTTCTTTCAAAAGTGACCATTTATCAACAAGCATTGTTATATTAACTGTATCCAAAATATCTTTGTTCGAGTTCAGCAACATTAAATTTTGTAGACGATCAGCAGATGTAGCGTAGATCTTAAATAGTTCTTCACCAKTTTTAATTTACTAAATGCCCGTTCATTAGATGCTGTACTAATGGGAGCTGTAAACACCAATCGTAACATAATATTCACATTTGGTAAAAGGTGTTTAAAAGATTCTGAGGTTTTAATATTTCTAATAAATTTGACATACCATTACTATGATGAACTAATATTAAAAACTCGGAAAGAATCCCATCATAGTCAGTTAATTTGGATGCAGAACTTCCTGGAGGAAATAGTTCAATTATTTTTTTTAAATCGTCTGCAATATAATTGGGTTTTAAAGTTATCGAAAATACTTTGAAAAGAGGCTCTATGGTAGTCATACATTTTTTAAATGCTCTRATGATTATTTTATCAATGTATCTAGAACTTTTTTGAATTCTGATCTATAAAATGTTTTCATATCAAAGTTTGTTTGTGTATTTGAATTGGAATCCAATCTATTGGGTATAGTTATAGTTTCAGTGTGCCTCAAAATATGATAGGAATTTTTTTTTTTATTAACTAAACGATAGCTCAGCATTAAAAACTTTATATTTTTCTTTAGTCAGATCTCAAATAGAATATGCTTCATTAATATGGCACACTGATAATATCGGTCAAAATACCAGCCTTTCCTCAATTCAAAATAATTTCTTAAGATATCTRTCATTTAAATGTAATGTGRARAGATCCCCTCATTCGGGATATAATATAATCAGTAATTTTTTTAGAATTGATTYTTTAAAAAATAGATACCTTACATTAAATTTAAGATTCCTATTTAAATTATTGCATAATATGATMGATTGTYCAGAACTTCTTGGAGAATTAAACTTTAAGGTAAATACAATTAACTCGAGAATTAAACATACATTTTATCTGTCAAATTTTAAAACTAAATATATGTCACACAGTCCTGCTAACATTTTAATGTCTGCAGGTAACACTGCAATACATTTTGACTTATTTCCTTAAGTACCTACTCACGATGATAAGCATTTTCTTGTATTTCATTATTATTGTTATTTAAATAATTACTTTCTAAACTACTTATATCTTATTAATTATTATTATTTTTATTTTGTTATTATTGTTATTGGAATTTATTCCGTAATAAAGAAATTATTATTATTATTAATAAGATTAGTACTTTTTCTACTTTTTATCTGTATTTCTAAATTTGCCGACTTCCTATACAAATAATACTTTGCCGACTAATTTACATAAAAACACCAAGTGGGGGATGTCACACCCCCCCGCACCAACCATTAACGCCGACCCTGCCCCCAGAGCCTCATTATTTGTTTGTCTAATTGTTTTATGCTTTTCATTTTAATTGTAGATATCGAATTTKTCTATATTCTGGATGGTTAATATGTTCAGTACAAGCAATGAACAGTAAACTACGTGAATACCTATTTGTTATATTATYTTACTCTAAAAAGATAATATTCTTAAGATTTTCACTGAAAAACACTAATTAAAACAAATTAACTATTTTTATAATGAACCCTTTTTTGTAAAGAATACATATTATGTAGGTTATTTTCGTTTTTGGAAAATGAAAAATGTGTGCGATTTCAATATTTTAAATTATCCCTTATGCTTACACTATAAGTATTATTATTCACACTTATAGTGTAACATCAACAACATTTTATTTTTAAATAAAAATCTATACTTTTTATTTCATAAAACCGTTAAAAAAGTGTTGATGTTTTACAAACATCGAACAGATAGCGTTTTTTATTTATCTATAAATAAAATTAGAAAAAAGCTAATTTTTTTTAAAATAAGGTGTGTTTAATTTTAAAATAATCATCCTGTATACCCCTATTTTATTAAAGAATATTATTAAGTTGTTTCTTTTTCTGAATTAAATAAAGCGTATACAACTAATAGATAGATTACTATAGATGTATCTAGTTAAAAATTATGTTTTACATATATTGTGCAATTTACATAATATTTAAAGAAAGTATTTAACTAAGTTGAATGACGGTCTTTATTGTGCATTCGTTTTTTTTATACAACAGGAATGTTGTAATCATAATTATATGTAAACTAATATTTTGAATGTGAATAATATTATAGATATATATACATACAACACACAATGTCATACATATTATATTATTTATTTTCTCTTGTCTAGTGTATGAACTATTCATATATTAGACATATTATAAAATACAAAATTAGTTATCAAGCATGATGCTCGTATCCCTGCATAAATGGTGCTTAAAGTAAACAAAAATTACAAACAATTATATGTCTTTACCTACTTGATGCATTCCGCTTATGTTTATTGATTATATTCTTGTATACTTTATACTATATTACATTTTATTAATATTAGACTAGGGTAGATTTATTTTGTCGTAATAATTATCAAAATGCAGCTAGCACAGCTCATTCTGTCAAATTTACGATGATATAATAATTATTATTAAATAGATATGTCTAACTTTAATTACGAACAACATAATCGTAAAATTGCAATTTTTTTTWAAATTATTTATTCTGACAATATTTTTATTTTTTTGTTTAGCAAAATTGGACGGTGTTAAAACATACATGCGAATGAGAAGAGTACCGAATCACTTGCAGACCAAAGTGATTAAATGGTTTGACTACCTCTGGTTAACGCAAAAATGTTCAGACGAAGAAAAAGCCATTAGCTGCTTGCCGGGTAGTTATTAAATGCATTATTCTTAATTAAAATTCGTATGATGTGAAAAAGTAACATCACGTTTTGTTATAACTTCTGAATACAATATATTATAATAAGTGTTTTAATATTATAAAACACAACATTAAAGAACCTAAGCAGTAATAAMAAAAAAGAAAACAGCTTGAGGAAATTATTATATTTATAATTACAATATCAATAAAATATACTTACACTTTCAATATCATGATTTGGTTTTTAATTTGTGTAACAAGAATACAAGTGTAATGAATAAAAAGACCTATAATGACTGAAATACGGTTATGTGTCTCTAATCAATTAATCAATTATAAATTAACATATTACACTCTAATCCTTGTAGCAGCTTCCTCGTTTAAATCGTTGTTAGTGTCTGAAGTGTAGGACGCGGTGACTGGTTTATATATTTTTAGAATAAAAGATATCTTTCTGCTTCACTGTTATTAATTTTTTTTTTTTTTTTAACACAAAATAAAATATACGTACTTTAATTTATTATGATAAGCATTAACTTTTACCATTACGTCTTTCTGCATAGACGATCTGCGTAGTCTTTTACATTTACCTTTGAACATCTATACAAAAAGACAGTAATATTACACGTATGACCGCGTGACTGATAACTCAGCTCCTCATATCTAATGTTGTGTATGCACGTACGTGTGTGTGTGTAATATCTTATCGTTATATTTTGTCCTATTCAATATTTTGTAACTTAATCTTATTCTTAATAGCTATCAATTATTATAATTATCTTACTATACATTTTAAATTTTAAAAAAATATGATGGATTAGGCGCACATTATTACACAAGATTACAACTTACATTAACAAAATGAATATGCTGATATAATGTATTGTTTTATAGATAAATTAAAAGCTGAGATCGCAATAAACGTACATCTAGACACTCTGAAAAGGGTAGAAATCTTTCAGAACACGGAAGCAGGATTCCTTTGTGAACTGGTTTTGAAATTAAGACCCGTGTTATTTTCTCCGGGCGATTATATTTGTAGAAAAGGTATTATTCGCCGTAATTTTCAATTCATTATGGTGTTATATTATTATTTTCATAATCGATGGAATGATTAAATTCGTTTACAGGGGAAGTTGGCAAAGAAATGTACATAGTCAGCAGGGGAAAATTACAAGTGGTCACAGACGATGGTAAGTCGGTTTTAGCAGTACTCCGAGCAGGGTCATATTTTGGAGAAATTAGCATACTCAACATGGGAACAGCAGGTAAATATTTTGATCAGTTCAGTGTAAATGTGTATATGAGTGTGTGGATATAACACTTCATGTTGTACAGGGAATAGGCGGACTGCTTCAGTCCGATCAGTAGGCTATAGCGATCTGTTCGTTTTGTCAAAAAAAGATATGTGGGATGTGCTCAAGGAATACCCTACTGCCAGAATCAGACTAGAGGCAATAGCAACCAAACGTCTGGAAAAATACAAAACTGATCCTAGTCCAGACGATAAACTAGAAGGTTAGTCGAAAACCACTAATCATTTTAATACGTCAAGTTTAACCTACATGGCATACTTGTATACGTTATGTATAATATAGAATGGTTATTCGAGAATTTATTTGCATAATAAAATTGTCTACTTTACTTGTAAAGGATTAGTTGGAAGGCGATGCAAGTCGACGCCTGGAATCGTAGAAAGCCAAATTAAAGTAGAAGATGAAATGTGGTTACAATCCAGCGAAGGTCTTTTAAGGCCTGCGGCCACATTTAACAGTAACATCAATAACAGAACTTCATTCAGTCCTACCGCAAGTCCTAGTTTCAGGTTAGTTACGATGCGAATATATTTCTATTCACGGGCCACATACATCCTCGATAAAACAAAACTATATTATTATGATACAGATCAAATGCCGCTGCTACTTTAGAATCCCCTCTGTCTAGTAAATATTCTCTAGATCAAGAACACCACCATCACCACCATCATCATGTTCAAGATGCTCAAAAACCACAAGCAACAACTTCGGGTGAATTTTGATTCCGTTAACTCTAACCATCGTTGTTGTTTTTAGTGTCTGTTATAACCATAAGCTCTGTTATACACTAGGTGCAGGTAAAGATGCAACGATGGTGTCCGCATTGGAAGCAGAAATCAATAGACTTCAAGAACGTTTGATAGCTGTGGAAACAGAGAACTTGTATCTCAACAAAAAAGTTACTCAACAGCGATGGGATATGGACCACAGGCTTGCTGAAATTGAGATGCAGATTTGTAAAGACGTTGGAAGCAGTGCAGATAGTAGCTGTGATGATAACGAAAGAAATAAAGAGTCAATCATCTAAATGATTTTTTCAATTGAATTTAAAAAAAAAACAGATTCATCTGCGCCAAAGACTGACGTCAATATATTATATCGAGTTATAAATTATATAATTTTTTTTTTTTAACTACCAGGGTGAAATTTTGAAAACCCAGGAAACTGCAATTATTTTGGTTCACATAATAATTTAATAAAAACGTGCGTAATATTCAGGCCGAATAAACATATTTTTACAACTCAAAATGACTCAAATGAATTAAATAATTATTTACAACGTATATAAATACCAAATGGAAATGTGTCTTCTACAAAGTCAACTATTCGTGTTTTGCATTTTAAAAATGTAATTATAAGATATTTACATGTCATGAGCTAATTAGTATATTATACATTATACATCTTAGGTAGGTATACAGGAGTTAGGTTTGAACGATTCACCAAGCATGCTCGCCTCTTTTTTTTCTTTAATAATGAAGTTATTYAAAATCTGATTTTTGGAATCTTTAAATATACTCAAAGAACATATTCGTTAAAATATTTGTACTAAGGWTAATAGTCCTTAAAAATCATTYTACAAAAGTATAAAATACGCGTACTATTGGAACTAGTAATTATCATGCTTAAATTGTTTTTAAAAATAATTTATGTTGATGGATTAATATTAATGACAAATATTTTTTAAATCCATCATAGACCACATATCTTATAAACCTAAGCTATGGATATTTTGTCCTTAGAAYACAAARTTAAATAACTCAAAAAACTATTCATTATAATTTTGATTTCAAAATATCAAAATTCTCAAAAGTATTATCTGCTAAATAATTTACAGTAAAAGTTGGGGTTCTCATTTGAAAAACAAAAATTTATATCACCCCAGGACACTCCTTAAATGGTGCAAAAAAATCTCGAGAATTTGAAAATATGGTCGGTATGGTTGAGTGTAATTAAAGATTCCAAAAATCAGATTTTAAATAACTTCATTATTAAAGAAAAAAGGGGATGAGCATACTTGGATAATCACTTGTATATCAAAACGCATGATGTCATGTAAATATATTATATTAATAACAGCATTTTAAGCTGATACCGATCGTGCAAAATGTTTTTTTGATGCCCTCCAACGTTTTTAAATAGGTAGGTACCAATTATTGTTTGTTTTTTTTTTTTCAATTACATTAGTTAACCTACTAAATTCATGATTATATATATGCAGTGTTTTCCATTACTTTAATTGCAATAAGTTCTTTTACAACGTTTATTAGATAACAATTTAAATTATGGGGACCAAATAATTAAATCGGTCAATGTCTTTCTCACCTACTTAGAATCTCAAAACCAATAATATATGTAAATCAAAACTTCTATTAAAATAATTATTTTCAAATTTTAAATCTCCTACAAATTTCTATAGTTATCTGTTGATTTTTAATTTTTTTTTTTTAGTATTTAAGTAGTTTATGTAGACATGATTTGATGATAACACACAATCTAGTATGACATAMAATGTACTATGAGCTTTTTTTTATGTTATTGTTTAAACATACCTATTATTATAAATTATTTATTTAACATATAATTATTTTATTAGATTACCATAATCCTTATATCGTATAACATCCGAGCTATAGGTATGCGAGCTTGACCCTTTTTTTGTCATTACATTAACGTTAGGCCAACATATAATACTATATAGAGAAATATTGTACAAAAATTTATTTGTGAAGAAATATATTGTAAATAATATATAATAATATATATTATATTACTGTCATTATAAAAAGTGTTGATTATCTTGTTGCTTTATTATTATTATTATTATTATTATTATTATTATTATACAGTTATAATTCTTATGCAAAGTGTTCTCAAAATAGATAATAAAAATATATATAATAACAACATTTGAATTAATAAATTAATGATTAAAATTGTTATATTTCATTAAACGTAAGTAAACAAATTAAAAAGTAGCTATGTAAAGTTAATTTAAAATATGAAGTTATTTTTCTAGCGAAATAACATTTTTTTTATATATATATTATATTTAAAAAGAAATAAAAATACTATTTTACCTATGTATGTAAATATATACCAATGTATAAACATATAATAAGTATGCAAACACATTTTAAAACACTTTGTATAATTTTATAACTATGAGTATATTATATTAACTTATTTATAAAAATTAAAACTTTTATTCGAATTTTTTTTAATTATGTATATTTACCATTAAATTATTAAATTAATTTTCCACAATGTCATAGTATCATACATCGATTATACAATTAAAATAAAATTCTTAAAATATAATTTACGATTTACAAATAATAATATACCTCGAGCCTATTCACACCGTCCTTCATTACATCAGTATATTTACTTTTAAATAAATTACGTATTAACAATCAACAAATAACAATAATATATGATATAAGTAGACAAATATTAGTTAATTAATTATAATTTATGTAATGATATGATTGAAATAAATCAGTACAGCCTATTGAATACGAATACCATACTAAAAATCAACTATATTACTACTTTARGTTATATAAATATATCTTAAGATACTTTACTATTTCTTAGACAAAGTAGTTTCAGACACACGATTTCAACTCAGAATAATTTATCAGATGCAATGAATAATTAATTACTGTTTATGTTTAGCCTATGTGCAGCACTGCTACTTCGCCATTTATAAAATGTTTAGTGATGAGTTTTCTTTTTCTACTCGTATTTATTTTATTTATTTATTTGCAAACAAACAAAMAATTTACAATAAGTTATTTAATACAAAAATATGATCGTCTACTCATCTTCTATAAACTAAACTTGTAATGAAGATGATGAATCCCATAAGTAGTATATCATTAATTATTATAAACATTTAACATAATATACATACTATGAATAGGCTAAAATCAAACCAAAGAAAAGAAAATTTTAAAAATGAATAGCTTTTACTACTGTTTATAGATAAAATAATAAATGATATAAGTAAATATATCAGTGCAAATATTAATAATGTTTTTCACGTAATACATTGATAATATTATAAAAATATTCATGAACAAGCGGTTAATTAATAATATAATTGTCAAATAGATGAAGAAATATCTGAAGTTTAATCTAG